GGGATCTCTCAAAGGGCAAAAGCATGTTGAGCAGCCAGCAGTTTTCAGAAGCAGCAGGTAACTAAAAATATTTTGTTTTCTTTGCTCCTCAGGCAATGACAAGTGAAAACCTGGACTGGGTTGCTGAAGAAGCAGGAGACTGTCAGAGTACAAGTGAGATTAGGAGAACAGCCCCCTGACTTTTAGAAAAAACAGCTGTCACTTCCAGAAGCATCCTGCTTTACTGTCAAGTTTCAAGAAAAACATTGAATACAGGTACAGTGTCATTTGAAGAAATACAAATAAGGAATAACGTGGAGTAATTGAACACTGAGCAAATCCACTTGAAAACATTTGTTAGCAAGTCAGTCAATAAAATGTTGTTCCACACGCTTCCATTTGAAGAGCTTCTAATTTTATGTGTTTATATGCTAAGCTTATAGACAGCATATAAAGCTTGGACAACACTACATATAACGGTGCATACCTTTAATCTTAAACATAAAGTTTCCTTACCCATTAAAATCCACATTAAGTCCCTCAAAGTTACATTTGAAAATAATTCCAGCTTCTAAGTCATATATGAACTTTATATAGTTAGCACTTTTTGGGGGAATTTTTTTTATTTTATTTCAGTGTGATTAATTTGTCAAATTTGATTGCCTGATACTTGCGCTTAGTTTTCACCAGTTTATTAGGAGTTCAGAATGGTGTCTGACTTAACTGTATTTGTATATTGAGAGAACATATGCAAATGCTGCATATGATATGAAATTTGCAGGCATGTGCTATGTCCTAAATCCTCGCTTATATAGCACTCAGAACTTCTAATGTACAAGGAAGAGCCCCATTTCAAATACTGCTTTACTTCTCAGTACCTGCCACGTAGAAATTGATGAGCTTTTATTCATGCTGATTTCTTTCTGTTAAGCATAAGTTTGTAATTGTTAAAGGTTCCCTCCTCATTCTGAAAACAATCATGGGAGTTTACTCATATAAAGTAGAGCAAGGTGGATGCATAAGAAATACAGGATTTTTCAGGGAAAGGAACAAAATGAGAGCATAGCCCAGAGCCTTTAGGCCAGCACCCAGTCTGTTAACTCAGTCGGATTCAAGTTGGTTTGCTTCTGTAGCTATTTTTGCCCCTTCCTCCCTACCCTTATTACATTTTATGCTGTTGCAGGAGGGACGGATATTACTATGTGAGATGCAATGCCTTCTATGTGTTCACGCAATGCCATCGTGATACCTATAATTTGTATTATTCACGTTTGTGGCCATGCAACATAAAGGAGCACAAAATAATTATCTGGAATGCTACAGTTGTCGGCCATTTTATTATGTTTTGTTCTCTTCTGTCGCTGAATCAGGCATCAACCTTATTTCTGTTGTTAAAGGGAAAATTACCATGTTCATTTTGCAGGATTAAAAAGATTTATTGAGTTTTCCTGTAAAATTGCAGTGTAGAATTTGTTGTGAACAAAATAGAGCTGACTCCATTGACTACAGCAGACTAATTTGCAGACAGAATTGAATTGCGCTCTTAAAATCTAATTTTAACAAGGTTTTCAGAAATAGGCCACAGTAGCTTTATTTTTATCCTACATGTATTTTGAATTTTAGGGAAAACGTAACCTCAGCGTGTTAATGCAGTTGTAGCATATGCATATGGAATAGAAATGTGTTTTCATGAAAACCCGATTTAAGTTACTGTGTTGAACCACTGAATACAGCTGGATTCTTCATTCAGATTCTCTGTAAATTCCTGATCTCAAGGTAGTTCAAACACACAATTCTCACAGACTTTTGCTTTGAAGCCCATGCAGGCCTAATCCGAACAGGAGGTGCAATAGAAAGCTCCACTGTATTATAAGACTGGAGTTTATCTACTGACACTTCAGCATCCACAGAGTGTAAGCACGTGAGTTCTTCTTTTCTTGTCTAAACTATTTTGAACGAGGTCTCTTTTACATGCTAGTTTGGCAAGCTTCTAAGGCATTTGTGCAAAGTGATGGTGCAAGAGCAACCTGATTCAACACTGAGAAATTCATAAACAGCATCCAGCAGTAATTAAAGTGAAAAACTATAGCTAAGAAAAGCAAACACTCTACAGTATCAGTTGAGCTACTATATTCTGCAGTTTTAAAGTGGAATATGTTTACTGGTGCCTTCAACTCAGGAGGTATCATTCTGAATTTTAAATATACCAAGGATTCATTCTGTTTTTTACATAGATTGAATCGGATTAACAGTGATTAAAAAACCATTAATATATACGTAGAGAAAGGATAAGAGTGGAAGAAAAACACAGTACCAGAAATTACCATCTGGGAACATACTATACATGTAGTCAGTATTTTTGTATTAAAATGAAGAGTTAATTTTGAAGTCCAAAATGGTTTTAAGACAACTTAGCGCTCTCTGTAAGGCCATTCTCAGGAGTCAAGTGCATGACATTCAAGATGGGGATATTTATAAAGGACTTCAGTTTGAAGAACTGGAATAGCCAGCTGATGTCTTTACCATCTTGATGAGAAAGTCTGTGCTATTTTCAGTAAGTACACACTAAAGTCACAAAAAACCCCTAGAAATTCTTTGTCTGGATTTCCCCTTAGATTAGGGTTAAATGGCAGCTAACATTCACACAGAGCTTAGTTGTTCAGTTTTTATGTATGCAAAACTCAACAAAGTAGTAGAATTTAGGTAGCTAGTAGTATAGCACATAATGGGTAGGTCTTAAAAGTAGCATTCTGAGGCTTTTTTACTTGTTTCTCAAGCTCTCCTCTGAACTGCCTACAGACCCTGGATTTACTGAAACACTTGGCCCTGTATTGTGTAAAACTTCGTACAGCACAGCCTCAAATTCAGTTCAAAGATGCACTTATTTAGAAAAGGGTGAGGAGAAAAAAATTGGACAAAAACTTAAATCTGTTCCTTTCAGGGTACAGCTATGGCCGTTGTGCTGTGGCACATAATCCACGCTTTTCTGGCCTTCAAAGAAAAGGTGAGAGTAGTTGTGGATACTAGTTCATGCTTCAGGCAGAAAAAAGCGGTAGCTGGCCCAAAGCGACTTGAGACTTAACATACAAGATCTGTAAAGTAGCCACTGTGTGATTTTTGGACTTCACCCTGTACTTACAGGAATTTCTGTGGTTATGCTTTTGATATCAGCCAGGTGTTGGGGGAATTCAGATTTTATTTATTTTTACACCTTGGCAGGACAGAATAATTCAACTGTGTTGTGGATTAGTAATTTGTGAAATTTAGTTCTAGAACTGGGCTTGGATAAAAATGCTCACGTTTAGATGTGCTTGTGGTTTGGACCAACATCTCACATTCAATTTTTGTCTTTTTGTGACTCTAGTTTTAGGTACTAACCTGTAAACATCACAATATGTAGTCGTCTTTCTTAGAAAGTTCACTGTATGTCTCGGTACTAGATACAAGATCTTTAGCAGGACTTCATGTGAGGAACAGTTAAACAAAAGCTTGTATGAATAAGGCACTAGTAAATGTTTGCAGCAAACAACAATTACAGTCTATATTCTTTAAGAATAAAGCTGTTCTGTTTAGGAAATTGCCTTTAATATGACAGAGTTACCAATGCCAGTTAGAAGGGGGTTAGAGAAAGTGCATCTTTTGGATTATGCTTGTGAGGTCTGTGAGAAACCACTGAATGCAAATCCCTGTTAAGTCTGGAAATAGCCTGTGCAATGGTAATACTCAGGAGAGCTAAAGCAAGAAGAAACCGGTCTAGATTCCGATCCCTGCTAAACCAATGTGAAATCACTGTAATGGATTTGCTCCAGACTTACATTGGCAGAAGGAGCTGAAGCCAGATTCGAGGCTGCTGTGGCAAATCTAGTTAAATAGTAACAGTGCGAACGCAAAACAAATAATTGGCTATAATCCACTTAACAGCTTCAAAAAAGAATCTGATATTTTTAATTTCCTACTTGCTGAAGTCCAAGGATGCACTTTGTCTTTTGGCTAATGTAACAGACCAAAGCCTTCTGTACTACTTTGGAGCTGCTGCCATTCTAAACAGTTATTAAAATATTAATCCATACTTTATACCAAATGAAACTTGAGTCTGCCAATCCGTTTGTAGGATGGCTGACGGCTATTTCCATTAAAAGTTGTTCAAAAAGCCCCAAACTTCCATTCATAAAACCAGAACATACTGCCACTTTTAAAATGTACTTTTACGTATCAGCTCTTTTGGGGGGGTCATTGAAGCACCAGAGTTTATCAAGCCAATAAGAATGCATTTGTAAATTAATGGATCTGGTTAATATTCATGATTGTACTTCCCTAGGATCTGTCTGGTAAAACTACTACATCTGAAACAATCATTTGGTATACTAAATAGAAGGTCAGTGGTAACTCCACAATCTGATTTTATCACTAAATCCTGCTTTGTAAACAGACAGCTTAGTTTTATCATCTGACAAATTTCTGTTCCACTCAGATCCTCCATTATTTGTACAAGATGTCATTTAAAAAACTTAACACATTTCTAGTATCCATAATGCAAGAGGGAAAAATGACATTGATTCATTCTTGTGTATTATTGCCATCAGGTGCTACAATTAACATCTCTGGACAGTGGGGTTTTTTTGTTTGCTTGGGTTTTTCTTTATCTTACATAAGGACTTGGTATTTCTCTCAGGCTTTAAGATCACCCACCCATGAGGACCTCAGAAGCTTTACAAATACCTCAACCGGCTTTTAAAAATGTGGTGGGCTTTTTGTTTGTTCTGTTTTTTTTTAGCTTTGACTCATAAGACTAAATTCATTGGTGGTATAACTTGGCTGAAATTTTCACCAGAAATTAATCTGGACTAATATTTATTTCTTAAACAAAACAAAAAAACCCCAACAAGTAAATTAGATGCTGGGGATCTCTCTCCCATACTTGCTATACATAGTCTAAATTATTTTCAGAAGGAAGAAAATACAGAGATTTCTTTTCACAAAGATCTTTCCTACATAGCAACTTAACTTTTTTTCTTTTTAGATAGATATTTGTCTCTTACACGAATGTCAGAATATATGCTTTTCTATCTGTGTTTGGGGAGGCTAATAAATGGCATGTGTTTATCTGAAAATTAGAAATTTCTATGTTGTTGAGCATTGGAGCTGTGCAGAATCTTTTCTGTAAAGGTTGACAACTTCAAAAATTTTTTGTTATGTCATTATTTTCAGTAAGATGATGTAGATCTTGGCAATTGCAAAAGAAACAAAGATTCTTTGTCGAAAGTGTGCCTTTTGCAGTCATAACTAGTTTTGTGGTGTGTCTCTAGCTGGCAATTTGAAGTTGTGCATATGTTACCTTATTAGAATTTCCTAAGCTGTGCTTACTTTAAAATAAATTTGAACTTTTTTTTAACTTTGTAAATGAAACCTGTGTTTTGAAAGTCAAGGTGGGTTTTTAACTTGTTCTTAAGATTAAAATAGTACATTGGGACATAGTTGATTTTCCATCTCTTTTTGCCCACTGCTTTCGAAGTGTGCCTTCAGTAACACACAGCCAGGTGAGAAAAGTCTGCATTTTGGAAAAAGGTCTGTGAATATTTAACAAAATGCAGAACTCATTATGCTTTCACGGCTCTTCACGGCTGTATTTCTTCAGCAGAAGCAGAGGGATAGTAATGAAATATTTTTATTAGGAAACTAAGCTATTACAGCTCTGACTGGAGAAAAATCTGTTGTCAAACGTTTATATGTATTTTTTTAAAGAGCAAATTCACACTTCTACAGAACAGTTGCTTCTTGGTGCAACTGAGTTGTGTTGTAGAGGCACACTATTAACACCAACTGAAACTGTGGCCTAAATGCAGGCATCACATTTCTGTTTGTGCTGATGTATTCACCTATATGGATGACGTTTTAACAAAAAAATGCCATTTCACAGTTGTTGGGGTTTTTCTTAAGTAAAAGTTAGGAAAAAAAAAACACCTTCCAGGTGTAAAATCAAAGAAAATGACTATATAATCATTCAACAATTATTGCATGATTTTGCATAACCCTTGACCATTCTAAAAAGCCATATTTAATTTTTTTATATATGCATTGGTTTGATAATGAGTCATCACGCAACTGCTGACTCGCACTTGATAAATATTTAACTTGGGGAAGAAATTTTCTTGAGATTACAAAAAAAGAAAAAAATCAGTCCTAGGTCTTTGCTATTAATCCAGAGATTTTCATTGTTAGATGAAACACGTATAATTGGAAATAACTTACGTTGAAAGGAATCCACATTACTTTGATAAAAAAATCCACTCATCTGAGAGGCTTTAGGGATTATGATGAATTTGATGAGGCCAACCCCAATCCCTTAAAACCTTCTCATACTTTTAGGAGATGAATGAATTACCAGTCATGTAACTCTAATGTATTTTAAGGCTAGTTAGAAGACATGGAAGAGTGATACTCAAACTAAATGCTCCAAACTAGGAAGTATTTGCATGACTGTGTATTTATTTAAAGGGAATGATTTGTAAGGGTTAAAGTTTGCTTATCCTTTATGTTTTCTAATACAGTAAACCTACCATCTACTTGTACGTCAATAATAACTGATCTTAGAATGCCATTTCATAGCTGGAATCTTGGTTTTGCCTCAAGGTTCGTTCTAGCCAGGATGGCAATTAGGGAAAGTCCTAAAACTGAAACAGAAAAATTGACACATGCTGTTAAATTCAAACGCGGAACATGAAAATTAACGTGGAAGCAGAAATGACATTCAGTGTCAGAAGTAACAAATTTGAAAGTCTTAAATAATTCAATATAGAGAATATAGTTTAGACAGTTTTTATATAAGTGTGCTTTTTCCTAAAAACACCCCCCCACCAAACTTTTTTTTGCTTTTTAAGTCTTTTGACTGTAAATATGAAAGAGGGCTACACCCCAACGTAATTCTTCATTGCCATACTAAACAGTAAAATAGTCTTTCTAATTCGCATTGCTCGTGGCAGTCTTATTTGATGTTGCTTTATTAAGTTTGTGATTAAAGCAGTTTGGGATTTTTGTTGGTTGTAAACTTTTGGCGTAATGTGAATACCAGTCCCTTTCAAAAACAGCCTTGAGTTGCTTAATGATGCTTGTGCTGTTCCCCGCGTCTGCTTGGTTGATAACAAGGCCAGCTCCAGCATTCTGCGTAAAAGCATTTCCTACCCAATCAAAATTACCTACAAGTAAAGGCAGGAATATACAATGGGTTTCTCACATTTAAAAAAAAAAAAAAAAAAAGGCGATCTCCCTAAAGGCAATCCAGCACGATACAGTATCATTTCCCCCAGTGCCTACTTGGGCAGAGACGGAAATAAGTTTTCTATACTAGCGGGAAAGAAAAAACTCCATTACGTACCAGTGTGTAGGGCAGATTGTTTCTGGAAGTTTAACAGCTCTAATCCTTCATAAGTGAAAACAGGTACTTTTATTTATTCAAAATTAAACTTGCTCTTCCTTTTGCATATATCATATTATTACTCCATTTACTTTCCTCATCAGCCTTTCCAGCGCCAAGAATGAAAATAATTTTTTGCCGTATAAACAATTTAAAGTAGATGGGATGGAGAGTGGTTGCTCCATAATGCTGAGCCAAACCAATAGATTTTTTACAGGTTACCCATTGATAGATACTATTTCAGGAAAGACAGGTTTTACTGTTTTATGCCAGTTATCACCACCTTTGTTGAAATCTAAGGTAATGAATGAGCATTTCAAATCCTGGTGATCACAAGGCAAAGAGGATAATTGGATTAATGGAAAACAGGTAAACCAAGTGTTTCAGTTATTTCTTTTTATTTCACTAGAACTATAACTATTTAAGTTGTACATTTATAACACATGCAGTATTTTGGAGAAAAAATTCTGTTATTAGAGGTCATCTTTTAAAACAATATCTGAACATACATAAAACATGAAGGTACCTGAGAAATTTATACCCTTTCTTTCAGCGTCATTTCAGCTACTTCAGCAAGAAATGTTAAGAATTCTAAACTCGTCGAGGATGGTAAATTGAAGCCTCATCGTAAGGGACATTTCTTCCTATGCTTTCAAGTAAAAGATATATCAGGTCCTTAACATGCATTTGTATTACTTTCACACAGCTTTGATTCTTTCTTTCTTTTATTTACATATATCTAAGGATGTAAGGACAATGGGAAAGAAAAAAAACAACTCAGCTAAGAATCCATGCTGTGTAGATGAGTTATAAGTTACTGAAATTTGATCTGGCTATTGGAAGGAAATTAAAATAAAGTAAAAAAAATGATGGGGGGGGGCTCATAAACCATTTGGGAGATGAGAGAGGAATAAGCTGCACTATTTGAAGTGAAAAATAAGATTTGGATAGGTTGGGGGGGTGTTGTGTTTAAAGCCCATCAAGGTGAGCTTTTCAGAGTAGCTCTTGGTTGTCTCCCTACACTGCTTGGGATTCTCCATTCTTCATGTGTGCCTGGGCATGCTTCTGGGTTGCAGCCTTTGCCCTCCCTCACTGCCTCTGTGATCACTGGCTTTAAGCCCTTTGCAGTAAGTCAGGGTGAGGAAGCATGCAACTAAAGCATCAAGCTGCCCGCAGCATATTAGAATACGTTTTCTCTCTTGACTTTATAAAATCTCATGAGTTAATTACTTTTTAATTCAGTAGCAGTTTTCTGATCCTGCAGCTCACGCACAGCTCAAGCAGTCAGATTTTTTTAAAAGGTAGTTTTTAGCCTGCATTCAATGAGCATTTGACTGATAATGAACTTTTGCTAGGTGCCATACAGTGACTTTACTTAAATACACCTTTAACCCAAAATACCAATTAGGTATGTACCTAATGTTAGGAGGGTGTCTGAAATGTCATTACAGTAAATGGAATTAAGGCTTGAGAAGATGAGGATGAAAGGCATTTGTACAGTATTTACCAGGATTGACCATAGCTTTAGTAATAACATGGGAAATGGAGGACAGTCCATCTTTATTGGATTGCAGAAACAAGAGAATACGTTAATAATCCAATTTATTCCTACTTCATAAAGCGTGTTGTATTTGTGTTTTCAGTCTGTTTTTAAATACTGAAAGCAGAATGTTGCTTTTGAGAAACTGATTCACAGGGGGGAAAAAAAGAGTTTTTAAATGAGAAGAGGCTCAAAGCTCAGTCTTCATCCAGCTTCCCAAAGAAATGAACTATTATTTTAACTTAACAAACACATCAGCTGTAGATTCCTCATTTACAAATGGGTGTTATTTCAGGCTTTTGGCTACAAACTAGAATTTCTTGAGATGTGGTTACTTACCAATGTATGCACCTCCATCAGTCACCATATATTTGTTACGATTTAATTTGGGCAGGGAAGTGTTCTTCTGTTCTTTAAGAAAGCATGCACTCTCTTCCTCAAGGTCAAAGAATTTCTGCCATAAAATAGAATGGAGCGCAGGTTAATGAGAACTGTTCTATAATGGACAGAAAAAATATGGTCTGTTCTCTACTCTTTATTGAAAATGAATTAGTGTTACAGAACAGCTTGAGGTTTTATAGCCAAGCATTAATTTTAATAAAACACTGCACATTGTATTTCTTAGTAAATTCTCATAGTTTATGATACTCACTGTGTCTTAGCATTCTGAACTATATAAAGTATATGGCTACCGCATACTAAAAGCAATACACTGCCAGGTAGCAAAGGCTATGAAATGAACAAAAAAACGCTCATCTTTGTGTTCTGCATGATAAGAGCCAGGAACTTTTCTTTAGCTCATTTCCTCATTCATCAAGGGACATTGGGGTTTGACGTCTGCTTCAAGATCCAGATTGGCAGACACACCAACAGCTAATCCAATACCTTTATATATATATACACATATTAATTCAATACCTTTATATTACACGTTGCATAGTTTCCAACAGGAAACTTGCTGATTTCAGAAACTTAGAAACTTCTCAAGATTAAATCTGATATGGAGAGATCAAATTTACCAGACAAGAAGAGGAAAATGCATCTGTTTTACCCTAAAGGGTGAAGTCCGAGTTAGATTGTTTTGATATTTTTTTTTTTTAAATTTTGGAGCTCTATACACTCCTTGTCTGCATCTGTGCCAGACAAAAATGAGATTTCCAGTACAAATCTAAGTATTGTTTGTTTCATCAAGGAAACTAATAGCTAGACACAGATTCCAAAACCAGCAGTAGAGAATAACATGATGAAGGAGAAATTAAATATTTACTGCATGACTGGGAAACTTTGACTGAGGTGATGGTGTAGATCCTCAGAACAAACCTAATTCACAATATATTACTGATGAAAGTAACTGGCTATACATTGCACCCGCTTAAGACATTGAAAAATAGTATTAAAAACCCCCCACCCCAAAACTCCTTCGCTTAAGACATTGAAAAATAGTATTAAAACCCCCCCACCCCAAAACTCCATCATTCTTGGGGGTCTGGTTACCATTATGTAAAATTCATCTCTTGAACCAGTGCTCTTTTTGATACAAACTTTGAACGAATCCCTTTAGGTTATGGAGATGTCTTTCAGAATAATCTTACTACTATGAAAACCCACCTGTAAAATACTAAATTAATTACTGAAATGTATGGTCTCTGTGGTAGACTACATCATCAGTTTGAATAAATCAAATAAGGGTGTACGCATAGCACACAGGGAGTTAGTTTTATAAAGCATTCTTTACCCAGCTGATGATGTAGGTAGGTTTCAAGCTGGTTTGCAGTAAACTGGTCAACTATTGCAAAATGTGTTGTTACTGATTACCAGGAACGCCAGCTTTAGGTTTTATACCACTGGTTGCTTCAGAACTGCATACAAATACTCATTCAAAAAATCTCCCTTATTAATCATCAGTCTTGATCATTGCAGTTTGGCTTTCCTTGGAGAATTCTCCTCTAAGTTCTGAACAGGCTTATCTGCAATTAGTATTACCAAACCTAATTAAAATGGTTTAGTTGCAGACAAAAGGCAGAGTAGCCCAGAGGCTGCTGTTTATCTAACACTTTATGCCGCGGACTCTGTCAGAATCTCTCTCTTCCCCATTGGAAAATATATTGGGGAAAATTTTATGTTGTCAGAGGTGGTACCAAAACTGCTTGGAAGAACTCTGTGTAAAATACCAAGGCTAGTTCAGGCTCTGAACTCTCTGAGGAGAGTCTCTGTTCTTGGACTGACACCCCCTGCCCACCCCCTGCAACGATGAAAGCTTATTAGGGCTGAAGCAGGTTTTTAGTGCATTAGAAATAAAATTCAAAGAGTTTGTGTTTTTTCAGTGCCCAAATACTGGATGGTACTGCGGTGCAGTTTTGTGATCGATAACTATCACAAAGTTGGTTCCTTAAACAGTCTCTGAATTTCGTATGTCACCGCATGCTTACTTACCTGTACATGGCATTGTTATCTTCCACAGCTTAAATTTTGGAATGAGTTCTAATACCAGCAAAATTCCAAATACAGTTTTTTCAATTTAAAAACAAGCACAACAACCCAAACTGTTTGAATGATTGCTTTATAAAGGGCATTAAAAAAGATTATTCTATGTAAAACTGCAGTATCTCTCCTTTAAATGAGATTTAAATGAGATTTTAAATACGGACCCCTGTGTCAGGCAGGGGTCCGTATTGGGACTGGTACTGTTTAATATCTTCATCAATGACATAGACAGTGGGATCGAGTGCACCCTCAGCAAGCTTGCAGATGACACCAAGCTGAGTGGTGCGGTCGACACGCCAGAGGGATGGGATGCCATCCAGAGGGACCTGGACAAGCTCGAGAAGTGGGCCTGTGTGAACCTCATGAGGTTCAACAAGGCCAAGTGCAAGGTCCTGCACCTGGGTCGGGACAAGCCCCGGTATCAATACAGGCTGGGGGATGAAGGGATTGAGAGCAGCCCTGCCGAGAAGGACTTGGGGGTACTGGTGGATGAAAAGCTGGACATGAGCCGGCAATGTGCCCTCGCAGCCCAGAAGGCCAACCGTATCCTGGGCTGCATCAGAAGAAGCGTGGCCAGCAGGTCGAGGGAGGGGATTCTGCCCCTCTACTCTGCTCTGGCGAGACCCCACCTGGAGTACTGTGTCCAGCTCTGGAGCCCTCAGCATCAGAAAGACACAGACCTGTTGGAGCGGGTCCAGAGGAGGGCCACGAAAATGATCAGGGGGATGGAACACCTCTCCTGTGAAGAAAGGCTGAGAGAGTTGGGGTTGTTCAGCCTGGAGAAGAGAAGGCTCTGGGGAGACCTTATTGGAGCCTTTCAGTACTTAAAGGGGGCTTATAAGAAAGATGGTGGCAGACTTTTTAGCAGGGCCTGTTGTGACAGGACAAGGGGGAATGGCTTTAAACTCAAGGGGGGTACATTTAGACTAGATATAAGGAAGAAATTTTTTGCGATGAGGGTGGTGAAACACTGGCACAGGTTGCCCAGGGAGGTGGGGGATGCCCCATCCCTGGAAACCTTCAAGGTCAGGTTGGACGGGGCTCTGAGCAACCTGCTCTAGTTGAAGATGTCCCTGCCCACGGCAGGGGGGTTGGACTAGATGACCTTTAGAGGTCCCTTCCAAGCCAAACTATTCTATGATTCTATGATTTATATTGTATATTCACAACTAAACTGCACGGAGAAACCATGCCTTTAATTACAGATTTTTAACATCACTAACAATTACAGCACTACACTTCTTAAAAAATTAGAACAAACCATCTTACCAGCTGTAAAGGAAAGTTTACTAGATATTAGGGGTTAGTTCTTAGTCAACATCAAGACTGCAACTGTGTGCCTGAGGAACTGGTCTACAAACATGCACCCACCACAGAAAGTAAGTACTTAGCAAGCCAGAGATGGATCTGAATCTTTCTGAAAGGGTCTTGAATTTTTGGATAAAGCCAGAAGAAAATGGTCTTGTTTTTCCTGGCGCAACGAAACGGGAATGGAGACAGTTAGCAGCCATAAGGTGTCCGTCGAGGGTACTCGCTGTAACTCTTCACAGGGATGTGGAAGATACTGTGTGACTAATACCAATATTGTAGGGAATAGTCTAAAACCGGCAAACAGGTAAAGTAGTCAATGCTAGGAAACAACACATAACAAGCTGTCTTCTTCCCAGTGTTATAAGATTTAGCAAAAAGTTAAATACCTTGATGTAAAAATAGCCAAGCACAATAATCATATAAGCTTAGAGTTGTCATATTGAGACAGATTCAGCAGATGTGCTGAATTGAAAAACGATACGTTAGTGTTCTGTTTGTATAATAACTTTTTAAGAGAGAAAATTTCAGATTCAGGCAGGAAAAGATAGAAGGCTTGAAAATGTAATGTGTTCTCCAGCAACAGCAGAGAAGGCATTAACTAACTCCTTGACAATACAGATACCAGTAGGGAAACCCATCTGCCCTCACAAATGGAATACACAAATGTAGCTTAGATGAGCAAGTGAACCCGCACTGGCATTAAGTAGCACCGCCTAACATTCTCCAACACGCGCCTTCAGCAGAAGTACTGCGTTAATAATACACCACCCGCCTGCTAACATGTCATTAATATTTTCCATCCTTATTTCAGGAGTTTAGAGCTTTAAAATTAAATTAGTGCTTAGGAGCAAAGGTTTCATGGTTAATTCATAGCACTTTGTTTACTCATAGGGCATTTCTGGCTTTCTGAGAATTAAAGGTTCAGCTTTTCCTTCCTCTTACCTTAGCAGGAATACATGTGCACAACTCAAGAATAGATTCATGTGGAGGCTCAAGAACAACTTGTGCTGTAGATATACACGTGTGTCCCATGCTACTCCTTCCTGGTCTTCAGTTATAGAGTCGTAGAATCATTAAGGTTGGAAAAGACACTTTGTGTCTAAAGACACTTTGTTCTAGCTCATACTTTCTGTGGGCCCTTCAAAAACATGCACCTTTCTCTGTTCAGCACTGCACCCAACAGAGCTGGCCCCTTTTTACTGCTTCTTCGAGAGTCAGATTGAGTATTCTTGCACATAAGACATATTTACAGGGTCAGGCACACAAAACTTAAGGAGTACTGGAATTAAGGTCCCAAGAAGCACAATGGTGAGCTCTTCGCCTTGAGTTTACCCTTTATGATTCAAGCTTTAATTTCATGATCACATGTGGTTCAGTGCATAGGAGAGAGCTCCCTGAAGGAGCAGCAGTTTGGTATGCGGTTTACTCCTTGACATTTGGCTGTGTGCTTATAGCATTTATTTAGTCCTCAAACAAAGCTTTTTCCTCGTGAGTTCTTCCCAGTGATCATTTTTTCAGAGTACTTGTATTGAGTTTGCACTCTCAAAGCAGTTTCAGTTGAATCCAATAATTACTAATGCTTAGGTGAGCTGGACTCTGAGCAAGATGCTGAGGAATGCATAATGAGGGACTGAGTGTTTTCTGACTGCATTGATGATGTTAATTGCCCAGTCTTATCAAAGTTTTGTGGCAAAAGAGAAAAACAACCTGCTTCTAGATAGAGCACACTGTTACAATGCAGTGTTCCCAACTAGGAAACAGTGTCTTGCAGTCCCTGCCTTCCTGACCTCAACAGCAGACTGAAAAATTACATGCACAGCGGTTGGCGGCTGTTTTTGATCAGGGCGCTGCTAGGCGTAATGGGTTTGCAGTGCCCTGTTTCTAACTATATACTTGCAGTTAGGCAATACCTTGGCGGCTGTTTTTGATCAGGGCGCTGCTAGGCGTAATGGGTTTCTAACTATATACTTGCAGTTGGGCAATACCAAAACTTCCATCAGCCTGGTCAGCGACCAGGGGAAATCAGGAAGAGATTCCCGTCTAACAGAGAAATTATATCTGCACAGCCTTCTCCAAGATGACCGTGTACCTCAGGCTGCTGCCATTGGCAAAACAGCGTACCCTGCAGCTGCAGCAAGCCACTGGCACTCGCTGGAAACTTCCTAGCCAAACTGGTCTTTCCATAGGCATAAAAAAAAGAAAACAATCACAAGGCATATCACAGGGATCAAAAGCTGAATGAAAGAAAAAAGTTACTGAATATGCTTCGTAGGACTTGGATATATTATCCCCAAGAGAACAGAGGAAGGGCGGAGAGGGAATACCATTTCTGTCAGAACAGTATTGAGGTATTGGGACAGCTTAGCAATTTTAAGTATAATTTCAATGAGAATTTGTAACTTAAGGTTCTCTTAAAATTTCAGTGTTCTTGTGTATAAGCACATGCAATACATGTCTGCATGACAGTATTTTCTGTACAGAATTTAGTTTGACTTTATGTTTTCTCAGACCCAAAGCAGAACCAAAAGGGAAAAGCAGAATTTTCCAATAATTCAAAAGGTCTAAGTTTAGTTTTTACTTTGTTAGCCTATTCCTTCTCGCCCATACACACCCATAGTTTTGTTTCACTTTGATCCTGGCTAGAACAGATGAATACAAAAGAAATGCAGTTTTAAAAAAAACAGTGCTCATGTTTTCTGAAGTAAAGGAGTGTCGTGATGGAGCCTGTGGCACAGTTTTAGCCAAAATCAAATAGATACCAGTAAACTCTGAGCCTTGGGCTATTACTCATACCAAGGCTTATTTAAGGCAGTGACTTACCCAGTGTGTGGAACGTGTGATGGACAGCACAGAGGTAACCGAGGTGTGTTGTACCTTCACAACTATTTAAATCTGGGGCGGTCTCATTTTTTTACTGGAAGTTGTATTTGTATTTTCTAACTGCAGATATTCTAGCTAGACTATCTACCTGGAATAGAATAGAAATTTTTTTTTTCCTTTTAGCATTTAGTTCTTCACAAGATAAATTCTGTACTAAAGATTTTACCTGCTGTAAATAGATGGAAATGGATATGAGTATGTAGAGCATTAGGTCCCACTTAAATAAAAAATAATTTTGAATACATAAATAGAATTTTGATGATAAATACGAAACAAGCTAGAAGTTACTCAAAATTGAAGTGGCTTAAGCAGTGTCAGCCATGTATGGGCTTTTTGACTTAAAAACACACTTTATGCTGCTTCTTACCTAGGAAACTTGTAATAACTGTACGTTATAACAAAAATCCCTATTTCTAGATAGGCATAAATACCACTTAGTGTGTATTACACAAATAGTACTTGGTTTTTACAATTGTTGTCGATTTTAAAAAGCCAAAATGATTTAGTGGATTATCAATTTAAGAAGTCAAAATAATTCAGCAGATTATTTAAGACAGTTATCTGCAAAAAAAAAACCCAAAAAGGAATTGATCCAAGGTGAATTGATCCAAGGTGGCTGATTTCCAGTGTGCCTCAATTTCATACAAATGAACTGTATCAAATTGAAAGTAATACTTACCATGCACCCTGTTCCCTAATACAAAAGTAACATATATGGTATTTCTCACTTTCCTGTATTGCACGTCCAATGTGGTCACATAATGGTTGTTCTAGTCCTCACAATTCTGAATTTGTAGCCTGAATTGAATGTAAAATCTTCATTCTTTTTTCTTGTACTTTGTACTTGACTAAAGGAAAAGTAGATGCTTACGCAGCTGAACAGTAAGGTTACACGAATCCAGACTGAAACACATTTTTGTGCTGTCACATTTACTCTTAGCCAGTATAAACAAGACGTGTGACTACAGTTCACTCCGTTAGCTTTGCTCTGAAAGACCAGATGTGGTGTTTTACACGGGCTGTCCACCACACAGACTGTCTTTTGGCACCATTCTATTTTTCTGTCTTAATTTCTATGTGTGTTACTACTAGGAATAAATTCAGTTCATTATATTACATTTCCTGTGTTATTTAATGAAATTTAAAGGCTTTGATACTAACAGAAAACACTTCTCAGTTGTGAAGTTTTCTTGATTTTTTTTGGGGGGTGGGAAATATCTTAGATTTCAAAGCAATATGGATTATACTTACGACTTTCAAACTACAGCTTGGAACTTCAGTGCAAATAGCTTTCAAAGACGAAACAAAGTTAAAAGTAAGGGGATCTGTGTCTCTTGAGAAACTTATGAGAAGTCGTACTTTAATACTTCGTAAAACTAACGCTTCTCTTATCTTCCCATCTAAATATGGCCAGTACCTGTGGGGAAAGAATACAATATATTTAGAAAACTTAAAAAAATTTTGGATTTTTATGCAGCCAAGTCTAGACATCACAGAGAAAACTAACCACATATGAATTTCATTTTCTATCCGTTGAAGGAATGCTGTTCTCATTTAAAGGGACTCTCACTAAACAGATCTGCCAGCATCCTTTTTTGCGTCATTCTGCCCTGCACCAAAACTGTCACTGTGGGGACAGTGAGGTTGCGGATGGTTGAGCACATCTTCCATCTGTGTAGGTGCACGGAGAGCTGCCAAAACTCTCGCACAAAATGCAGGTACCTTATCCGCCCACAGCTGGGAGAGTTACTCCTGTGTCCCTGCCTGTGGTGAGAGCAGTAGAGCTCTTGTGGTGCCAGAGAACCAGCAGAACGAGCTACAGCTAGAGGGTGCTGCTCACCCAGCCCAGACAGAGGGACAAGGCGGATTTTCTGTTGGTTACACAAGTAAGGGAACAGGAACCCTGGGTCCCTCCCTGACTGCCGTCCTTTTTTTCCTCTGTACTGGGACCATACAGACTGGGGACTGGAATGCCTTATGTGATTTCTTGCTTGGGAAAGGGAGAGCTGCTGCTATGCAGGGTGCCTGCATCCTTCAGTAGCAGATGAAGATGGGTCGTTTAAGGAGGATGCTACCTTTTTTCCTGATGAGGATTGCAGAAATTCTGCCATGAATGGGATGGTGGCTTCCACGGTGCTATTCTCACAATCGCTAGTTAGCTTTGTGTTCCTGACCTTTGGTGGGAGCAGGTCAGGAGGGGGCAAATTAGACAGAGAAAATGCACGTTTTCTTTATTCCAGCAGCATCAAGGCATCCAGCCTAATGAAGCCTGAGCTCTATAATGCCAGAAAATAACTTACAAGCGAGAACTGGGAGCTGACAAGGTAGGGAAGCTGTGGCAGTGCCTCAAACACAAAGCCATGCTGTAGGAAAAATGTTGAAGAATTCACACAGATGGCTTCCCTGGATCTCCCTAATCCAACAGATTTCTGAATTCTTCAGGCATGAGAACAAAGTAAGGAGGAGTATAGGAGATAACATCAACTGCAACACTGTAACGGTTCTACATACTAGGTTCCTTTCCAACGTAAAGGAGAAACGTGAGTGATGCATATTGTGAAACTGAGGTTCCTACAGCAGTACCCATGATTCTTTCACTGCAATAGAGGCTGTACATAATGAGTTTATCGGAAAAACCCTCTTGTAGATTTGAAATGGCTTGTGCTTGATATCAGTCAAATGATAGTTATTTTTGGAAAAATTTGAACAAAGCATCTTTAATTATGCAAAAATGGAAAAAGAGCACATAACCACGTTTAGTTTGGCTTAACTGTGTTCAGGTAAAGTGCATGGATGGAATGGAGAGCTTTAGTAGATGCTCAATTCATTGCGAGGGTTATCAAGAGTAGGAGGGACCACTGGATACTTGCCTTCTGAGTTGGATGGTTTTATTACACTTTGGCTCCAGTTTTGGGTCATGAGTGCTTTTTAATGGCCCATACAACCAGTGTGTTTAAAAATTACTTTGTTTTGTTTGTTTTTAGCAACTCTCAGTTAACCAAAATGTGATATAATTCAAATGTAATCTGTGCTGAATTTGGAATTTTCATGTATATGTATATTTCAATAAAATAATGACATCTCCCACGTTGTATACGAGAACTCATAACATGTTATTTCTCTCTTAACACACACACACACGCACGCACACACTCTCTCATGTTGAATATCTGTATGGTACTCATAAAATGCCAGTAGCTGTGGTATCAAGATAGTGGATACAATAGTGTAAGAAATAGGATTAATGTATAAGCAGGTTCTTGTATTCCTGGGTCCCAGTCACTTGCAGATGGTCAGACTACAATTTCTGATCTCCTTCGATAGGCAGATCCAAAGCTTAGGACCCAGACCTGGAAATGTCTTCTTAGGTCCCAATTCTGCTCCCATTTAAGTCAATGGCAGAACTCTCACTGATTTCAATAAGAGCAGAATTGGGCCCCAAGAAATAGGTCCACAGTAGTAACTAATCTCCTGTGGGTTCATTTTGTCCAGCAGACCGTATTGGCATTATGATAACGTGCTAGTCCTGGACATGGACACTCACCGTTTAGCATTGGTGTCAATGACGATCGGCAAGTAGTCCATGACAGCTATGTATACAAACTGTTTCGCATCATCAATAACACTGTATATAGCTTCAATATCCAGGACTCTGTCCTTTGGGCAGAAGAGTTTAGGTGAATTCTGTTAAGGGAAAAGTTCAAATATGTCATTTAAAATATGTCATTTATTTTCTCCTCCCCTCATTCTTCTTGAGATGGCAAATGGTATCCTTTTTTTTTAGTAGAGAATATTAACTGATACCTCCAACTGTCCTGCTAGAATACTCAAAGGTACCAAGGAGAGTTACTTGCCTAATTTCCCCTTGAAAGCCTCGCCATTTGTGGGTAAAATGCAGAAGAGACAAACTTCAAAACATCCACTGTCACAAAGTGTCCACAAAGAATAGGTGAAGTTACATTTCAGAGAATTTTGTTCCAAAGAGTCCCAGGACTGGTTCCTATTAGATGGAGTAATATCTGTGTTCTCACCACATGAGCCTGATCCATCACTTGCTAGTAGGAATTAAGTCTATCATGTCCGTTCTGTTTAAAGTTCCACGCAAAGTCACCATTTGCTCAGCCACTGTTGCAGGAGATGCTGCAGTTTTGCAAGAAACTTATCTTTAAAACCTAGCTTCAGGTATAAATTAACTCTTTACCTGGTACTGAGCCGGTAAGTGGTAAGCCCCGATTTCAGCTTTTTTTGCCTTGTATCTAGGGCTGTCAAACGTGTCAGTCAGCAAGGCCAAGCCAGCAGGAATCACCCGTCTGCTCTTCTGCCCGAGCAGGGGGAGAGAAGTGGAGCCACCTGCCAAGTTGCTCACAGGCAACAACACAGTTCCTGGGAGCAGAGGTTGTTAAAGGCACTTTATAGAGCTAGAGCAAGTGCCTCTTGTCCTTAACAGCCGGCCCTGCCAGACCGCTCCCTTCCTGCTGCTGTATCACCTTCTCACCTTTGTTATCTGCTTGGGTTGCATCTGACATCTAGGTTCATATGTTTTCTTTAGGGACAGATCCTGAGGTCTTTTTCTTTCAATGCAATGCCTGTCACAGTGGTTTCTTAATCACTGAATGGTGTTCTTAAGGATTTACTACAAGTAAGTTCAGAAAATACTAGAAAATTAACAGCAAGATTTCAAGACCAATATTCCAGATCCATTCCTGAACACTAAAGAAAAACAACCAAAACCTCTTAACTTTATATCAGCCAGTCTGGAAGACGATTTTGTTGCTAAGCAACATTATAGCCATGATTCCCGAGTATAACAATAAAATTCAATGACTGCGTGTTATGCTTGTTGTTTTAGACAGCACAAACATTGAAAGCGAAATACGTTTTCAAAGAATGAGTTTCAACTCAAGAAGCGTGAAGTGATTTTGTTAAACATAATTTATATCTATTATCTGAAACTTTTAAGAGGCTATTGCACTGAAATTTTATTCTTACGCTCTTGCTATTTTCTTGAATAGAAGTTTGAAGTTACAGAACAGCTAAAGAATGGAATTCTTATGCATTGTCTTTTTCAGATGTGTTCAATATAAAGACCAGAAAGTGAAAGATACTCAGAATATGTGAGGAAAAACTTCTGTTAAAGTTCTCACTGTAACACTTGTGTTTGGGCATGCCACTTGTTACCCTGTGGCACAGCTGACCCCCCCTGTGATCATAAAAAATATTTTGGTACTTCTCTCAGTATTAGTTGTATAGTACTTGCTGTTCTGATCAAATACCCATTTGATACTTCTCTTTACCTACCAGAAACAGGCCTGTGTTCTCACTGGGCAACAGTACCTTGCCGTGCCCCTGCTGGGGGGCTCCCAGACCAAAAGGGAAGCAATGCAGGACTGGGGGAAGGAGCGGTGCAGCAGTGGGCAAGGGCAGCACCACCACCCCTGCCCACAGGCAGGGCAGCGATGGCAGTAAGTGAACTGCCTGGCTTGTGGAGACTTTCTTCTTGTCACTAGTACAGGAACAGACAGCGATGTTAACACTTAGTTCCACCAAACCAGTCCAAGTGCAACTCCAGGACGGCCTTTCAGAGCGGCATGCTGGCAAACGTTGAGAATTTGCTAGTAGGTGAGAAATTTGTTAAAAAGCCTGTTTTCAGGAAGGAAGAACCAGCCCAACTGGCTGTGACTACAAATTCCAGTAGCTTTTGGAGTTGGGCTTTGCTGATCTGAGCTTCTGGAGTACCAGTGACTCCTCCATTTTGTTTTCTGAAGTGGAATTTCAAGAGAGAGAGGCCTTTGTTGCCCCCACAAAAGGGAAATACAAGTCACAGGGAGGGAGCGAACATTCTTCTGCAAACTGCAGAAGAGCAGCTTTTGTAGAGCCTTTCTCCACCTGCCTCTCTCCACATGCCTTTGTCTAGGATCCCACATTCCTTAAAATTGGCCTTACCCTGCTTTCCTTACTGTGTGCACCTCCAGGACTGGCCTTTAGCAGGATTTCACCATTTCTTACAGACTGCTTAGAAGGGAGTAGGAGTTCATTTCACAGCTCCTTAGCTAACTGTCCAAAAGTCAGTTTCTAATTTAAGCTAGTCCTTAAGACTCTCCAGAATCAATATCTCTTCAGATGCCGTATGTGTCTTCAGATGGCTATTAATTCTGGCTGTTTTGGGTGCTTCCAGATTTTCACTCCAAAATAACTCACTCCCTCCACTGATTGTAGGAGTCTGAAAAATCCTGGACACCTGAATGTTGCGTGGCTCCCCAGAGGTGAAGGCAAACCCTGCCCTGTATAACCACTCACCTACACCAATATCCTGTGCTAGTGGCTGTACAACTTAATAGTGTGCTACGTGTCGTGTTCTTTTAGACATAACTGGCTATAAAGCAATGGGGTTTTGCCCCTTGTTTTATACGGAATGGTAAATAACTCTTGCCAACTTCATTATATTCCTGATTTTGAAGGGTGGTTTTTTTAACTCATGTAATTATGTCCAAAATGAAAGATACTCCATCTTTTGTCACCTCTCTGTGTACTTTTTTCCAGTTTTGCTACATCACTGCTGAGATAGAGGACTGCTCCACTTCTTCCCATTAAAAACACAGAGACAGTGCTTCCATGGGGATTGCTGCTTTGATTTTGTAAGTTTTAAAATGTCATTTAAAAATAAAGCTGAAGGAGATAATATTCTACAGAAGTATGAATGCTTTCAATGGAATAGGGTGAAGAGGATTAATCCTTATAAAGTTAACACTGATAAAAATGCAAGCTCTGATATCAAGCTTATTCTGTATCTTTTTAGATGTCTGATTAACAGTTCATTTACTCTAAGTCATTCACCTTATATCCACTAGTGTAAATGAGCTAATTTGAAGGGACTCCCTATCATTTTGTGAATATGAGAGGAAAAGTGAACATTGCAGAGAAAGGAAAAAGAAGAGTGCGCAAATGAAATTCTGCAGCAGCTTCAGTCCTGGCAAATTGCATGTAAGAACATTATCACAGAAATCAGAATGAAAAAAAAACAGACTGCGATTTGTCTCTTCTGCACCATAGGAAAAGGCAAATAACTTTTAAAAACCCTTTCAGTTACAGACTTCCCCACAAAAGTATATCTATTGGAATAACTGTTTTCCCAGATAACAGAATGTTTTGGTTTTCCAGCATTATGAGACTATCAATCAAGTTCTGTCTTGTGTAGGTGACAGCTGTGGTGGTCTTATCTCTATAGTTGGGTTTCCACTTACTCGCATGAGTCTTAATTTTAGTAACTGCTTTTGGCTGAGGACGTAGCAGTGATGTTTACCTTCTCCAGTTAGGCCAATTTAGAGAAATGCTTAAATATAGGCTTAATTTACACCATATATGTTCCTATTAATGGTAATTTCCATCAACACACCTGTTAATTTCTAATGGGTTTATACGCCTTGCTGAACAAAGATTCAGGTGTTTAAAAAAAAAAAAAAAAAAAAAACCCAAAAAACCCCAACACACCCAAAAA